AGTAAAGGCAATTGGATAAATCAGTCAAGCATCACTGGCCTATAGTTAAATGACAGCTTCAAGGGGAAGATGCAGATGTTTAATAACAGAAGACAACAGAACTTCAAGAGGAAGTTCTAGATGTCTAGTAATAGAGCAGGAACAGAGTTTACTAGTAGGGAGATAAGACAGCGGAGTTCAATGAGCTTTGAAAATAGAGAAAAGAACTGACTGAAGATCTAAAACACAGTGGATAAGAGTGGAAATGAAGACCTGGATGAGGAAGCCAGTGAGAAAATTAGAAACCCACTGGAAAGAGGGAAAACAGAGATAGAACACAAATATTTTGAAGGGGACAGAGATGGAAGAAGATATTCATTCTAGTCTATTTTTACAGTAAAGTAGGAGGAAACGTAAAATGTCTAGAGCGTTAATGATATTGCAGATGGTTGAGAAAAGATTTTGTGGAGAATGGGCTAGAAAATCAAAAAGACTTTAATGGTAAGTTGAGTAGGACCAAGAGCGCAAATACAGTTTTAGTTTGTAGTGTGGCAAGTCAACATTTTTGCTTGGTTTTTCGAAGTAATGCTCTGTAGTCCAGAACAAGGGAAATGAGTGGGACAGTGAGTGATTCTGGACTGGGAGCTCAGAGGCAGAGGCGCCTGAGGCTCAGGTGTCGATAATTATGGAAACTATCACTGCTGGGGCTGTCCGTGGAGGGCAGAGGGCAGTAGACGCAGGCTGAACACATCCACTTCAGGAGCACACCAAGATCCTACAGAGCTGCGTCTGGGGAATGTTTTATGGCTGGGGCAAAAAAAGGACTTGTTATATAATTTTAAGCTAAAAATTATACAATTATGAAAGCATCAAAGAGGAAACAGCAGAGACTAATGCCTGAGGACACTGGATGCTTCTGGCACATGTTCTTTCTAAGTCCAAAGCTAGTCTGTGTGACAGATGCAGAAAATATCCCCTCAGATACAAAGTGCACAGGGCACAGATATCCTAACTACTAACAATGCTAGCCCTCTTCTAAAATCTAATTTTCCAATCTCATACTGAGAAACTTAAAATGTTATCTACTGTCAACCTCTAAACCTGACATCTAAGATTGTGGGAATAAGGATCTGAATCAAAACATAAGCTGAATTTTAAATGATACCTAATAGTTTTTTGCTAAAACATCAACAAAGCTAATGATACTTTTAAAAACATATCTCAAAAACTAGTTTAAATCAGAATCAAATCTAAGCGTCTTCCACCAAACAATATGAAAATATACAAAATTTCTTCTACCCTATTTTAAGTAAAGATCCCTACATGTTCTTAGCATGGCTAGACTAGGATATTCATCCATTAAAGATTATGTTTACCAAGCATTTTGGGAGTCCCAGAAGAAAAATTCTTATATGTAGTGTAACTACAACTATGAAAAATATGCACACATACAGAAAACAAATGGAAGAGTTTCACCTTTGGGAAGACGGGAGGAGGTGAGATATTGAGGGAGCATGAGAGGGCTCCTGGGATGCTGGTAGTGTTCTGTATCTTAATCTGAGTGATAGGTACATGAGCATGGTCACTTCTTGATACCTTATTGATCTGTACACTTAAAATCTGTGCATTTTTCCAACATGAGTGTTACACTTTTTAATTAAAATTTTTTTTAAAAAAAAGGACTGAAAAGAAACATTAATATGGTATAACAGAGGTTCTTGCTGGAGTGGTGAGAATCTTTTTTCTCTCTTTCATATGTAATTTCCCAATTTCAACATGGAGAAAAAAGATAAATTTTATTAAACATAGAGAGGTGATATCCTGGAATGAATGAATAATTTCTACTTTAAAAGACAACTATCTCCCAAAAGAAATGTGTAACAATATGTAAACCTGTACCCAGCTTATAAATACTAAATATCTGTGAGCATTTGAAAGAGCAGTTGATACTGCAGAGCAAAAGTCAAGAATTCTAAAAATACATTAATACAGAAAATCCCAATTATACAAATGGGTATATTACAGGTCTAGAGTCATACACCTAAAAAATAGAAAAAAGTATCCAATTTAGAAATAATAAGGATAAGAGAGAAAAGAGAAAATGCCAGGACTGTACAACTCATGATCAGAGGGGGAAAAAATCAAAGAACAATTTTCTGAAGTGAAAGATAACTTCAGTCTGGTTAACAAGAGAGGGCATAAAGATTTTCTCAGCAATTATTCTTAAAGAATGACCCCAGACACTTATTTGTCAAGTCTTAAACCTTTAAAGACAAGATCTTACATTCTGTCAAGAAGAAAGGAGGTGTAATGTAAGAATGCCTTTGGATCTCATTTTTCAGATCTCTATGAAGGGAGAAGCTAAAAAGAAAAAAGAATTATAAATACAAGAACTCAGCTAAATCTCCTTTTAAGATAGATAATATATTAAAACACAGGGCCCTAAAGTAACATCAGCAATGTCCTACAGCTGTTAAGATCACCACAAGAGACACGTTTTTGAAAGCAGATTGAAAGGTACTTACTTTCTAAAAAGTGACAGAAAAATTACTTTCTAAGAAAATAAACTATGAACAAAGGGTGAAATTAACATGCAATCAGTAAACTTGACCACATATTGTGAGAATAAAGGATCAATATGCCAAAAATAAACTAATAACTATACCAACAAAGTTAATGTGGTAGATTTTAGACAACTACAAATTCTTTGTGGCTACTCCTATCAAGAGGTGGAGTCTCAGGGTGGCCGGTTAGCTCAGTTGGTTAGAGCGTGGTGCTGATGACACCAAGGTTGCCGGTTAGATATCCGCATGGGCCACTGTGAGCTGCAACCTCCTGAAAAGAGTCAACTATGCCATTGTAGCATGAAAGTAATGTGTAACCAATGTGACCATGAGTGTTCCCCAATAAAATTAAAACAAACAAAAAAAGAGGTGAAGCCTCTTTCTCACTCTTTGAATCTGGCTGGCCTTGTGACTTGCTTCACTTCAGAGGGGATGTTGTATGACTTCCAAGTCTAGCCCTGAAGATACCTTGCCGCATTTGCTCTCACCCTCTTAGAAATCTACATCAGCTAAGTGAAGAAGCCTGGGCTCATCTGGAGATACATAGTTCAGAAGACAACCAGCACTATATTCTAGACATGTGAGTGAGGCCATCTTAGACCACCCAACTTTAGTTAAGCCACCTGATGACTGGAGTCACACAAGTGACCTCAGGTGAGACCAAGAGAAGAACTACTTGGCTAACCCCAGCCCAAATTACTGACTCACAGACTTGTGAGTGCAGGAAATTGTTTAAATCACCAATTGCAGGGGCGTTTGTTACATAGCAATATAACTGAAATAAAATAAGTGAGAGAAAAATAGGGAGATACACCAAGAACTCGATTCTTATCTCCTTTAGAAAGGAGTTTAATGTTTCTTGGTAAAAACATAAATTATTTATATAAACAATACAAATGTTTGTGTTCAAATGTGTCAATGTTAGATATGTGAAAAAAATATTGGTTGAAATCATCATCTTAGATCAAAAGGAAAGTTTAAAACCGAATATAAATAAAACGGAGAAAAAGAATAAACTTTTAAAGATAAATTTATAGGGAGAAGAATAGTACAAACTCATCACTGAAAAGTATAGAGAAAGTAACTGAATCCTACATTTTGGACTTAGGAAAATCTCTTCTTTAAATCTCCAATCCAGTAAGTCACAAAATCGTGCCCTAGTGAGTTTCTCAAAGTCTCTTGTATATTTATCACTTTTAATGTCTTTTAATTTGGATGTTTTAGACCATTTATATTTAATGTAATTGTTGAAATGGTTCCATTTAAAGGTTTCCCTATATAAGATCATGTCATCTGAGAACAGAGATAATTTTACTTCTTCCCTCCTAGTTTAGATGCCTTTTATTTCTTTCTTTTGACTAATTGCTCTGGCTAGGACTTCCAATAATACTATATTGAATAGAAATGATGAAAGCAAGCATCCTTGTCTTATTTCTGATCTTAGAGGAAAAGCTTCCTATCTTTCACCATTGAGTATGATGTGAGCTGTGGGTGTTTCTTATGTGGCCTTTATTATTATTATATGAATGGGAGACAAGACTTGCAAATTATATATATGATAAAGGGTTAATATCCAAAATAATAAAGAACTTGTAAAACTCAACAGCAAAAAATCAATCTGATTAAAAAATGGGCAAGAGATGTGAATAGTCATTTTCCCAAAGAACACATACAGATAGTCAACAAGTACATGAAAAGGTGCTCAACATCACTAATCACATGCAAATCAAAACCACAATGAGATATCACCTCACACCTGTTAGAATGGCTATCATCAAAAAAACAAGAAATAACAAGTGTTGGGGTGGATGTGGAGAAAAGGAAACCCTTGACCTAAGTTTCCAAAACTGAAATGGCTTTAAAAAAAACCCAAAACCTAAGTATTTAAACTCTCAAGTCCTCAAGAGGCTAAAAAGGGGAAAATACAAAGTTTATTAATTAAAACAGTAGCCATTCTCTTTTACTTTGTCCCCCATCTGAACCCTCTTTCAATACAGGGTGTGGAGATGAGAGTGACAGTCCTGAGAGGGAAATGACCTGTTCATCATCTCAATTAAACAATTTAGTGGCACAGATGAATCTATATAGAACCACACACTCTCGATTCCCACCAACCTCTAGGGACAATCCTTCCCCATTCCATTTTTCTCTTGTCCCCCTTTCCATTGGGAGAGGTCTATTCACAGCCTTCAACATTTCAGGCACAATACTTTTGGGGAAAGTTCCTCTTCCTCTCAGAAAAGTCAGTCTTTCAAGAGAAGAAAGGTTTGTTTAGTTTCTGATACCTCTTTTTCCCTAGTATTTCAAATGCTCAAGTTTACAGCAAATAAGATCAGGATGATTACTTTGCTCTTTCCTAAAGGTAACAATTTTGTTCATAAAAGCAACACATGCCACACACAGGACTATCTGTGAACTGTACGGGCAGGAAAAACATCGGGAGATCACATCCATTACCTGAGTAGGACTCTGAAGACTTAAATCTAAACCACAAGTAAACTCTGTATGATGTTCCACTATTTCGAGAAGAGGGTCAGGCTTTGAAAAGTTCCAGAACCTGTGAATATAAACAAAAAGAAATAATTGAAGTGTCAAAACTACCAAAAAACTTATCTAAGAAAGAACAGATATTTAACATAGCAAAGATTTTATCAAAATAGTTTCAACCAATTCATAAATGCAGAGCCCCACTACTGATCTACATTAAATATCTAATAAAGAAGAAAATATACTCCATTCTATTATATTAAACAATGGAATTATTAATCATTCTACCCTTTAAAAGATTATTATATTCCCATTAGTATACCTTGTAGGATGGGAACTTAACAAGTTTTAGTTAATTTTTTTATATTGCACAAGGACATTTGAGATGAAAGACACTAGGCTTTTATAGCAATTTCTAAAAGCATTCAAGGCTGTAAAATAAGGATATTGGAATATATGAACTCTAACATTTTGTGGTTTGAAATACTACTTCATTTCTCAATGACTGACATGAAAAGATCTTAGGTTTAATTTACATTTCAACAGCAATTCAAATTCTTTAAAAAGAATTGGTTCTCTTATGAAAATCTCTATAATTCTTAATCTTTTTTTTTTTTGAGGCACAGCCTTTCTTATAGATTCTATATCAATGTAATTTCTAAAGTAAAGGAAAACTGAACTGTGTTTTCCTGGGCCAATATTAAGTATTCTATTTATCCTCTATAGACTAGGCATGGTAATATTTACCGTAACATATCCAATTTCTAATGGATAGAGAAGAATTTGACCCTATTTTCAATACACAAAATAGTACTTTATTTCTACAGCTTTCTTCGCTCATCATCTTTTTTATCTGACTCTGAACACACCAGGAAAATGGTACATTCAGAATCATAGAGTCATACTCCAACTCAGACTCCCTAATGATGCACAACATGGAACACACCAAAGCGTTAGCAGATCTCTTTGAAAGAGAGTAAATACACAAAACCAACAGTCAGTTTGTTTAACCTGGAGGCATTATTCTCCTAATAAATACAGAGTTGGTCTTATTAAGTTTGCAAAGGACTGTTGCTATGGGTAATCCACTGTGTGGTACCAGAGAAACAATGAACAGACAGCTCATTTTTCAGTTTACTGAAATCTACAAAATATTTAAGGAGAGTGATTTTATTTTTGAAAATTTGCCTGTTCAAACAAATGAGGGAAGAAGCTGCAGTCCTTCTGATAAATCATACTAGTGGTCTCCACTGCTTTTGCGTATTTGTTCCTTTGGGTCTAGAGACAGTGAATTGTACTGCAATCTAATTTTCTAGATCTTGATAATGTTTATATAAGCAAAAGTAAATATGTAATTGTGTAATTTCATTTCTAAAACATGGTTATTCACTGATTTGTAATATTTGAAACAGTAATCAAATGATTTTGTATATATCCACCATGTTCCAAAAAATACTCAAAATGGCTTAAAAATACATATTTAATATGGAAAAAAATGAGTTAAAGGGAAAGAATGGATAGGAGAGTAAATTCAGACCGCAATATTTATAAACAAAATTTTATTCCATGAAGTTGCATATGCTTGACAGGGGAGGACCTCTCAAGATGCTAAGCTTTTCAGTAGCCACGGGAAAAGGGGAGACACAATTGGCCCTGAATTCAGTGTCTACAACCAAATCGCTCTTGGAACGCAGAAGGAAATTCACCCTTGCGAGTTCACGGAGAAGAAACCCTATGCTTATGTAATAAAGAGCATCCTAAACATGTCTTATTGAAACACAGAGATGCTGTTTCATGGGCGGCTACTCCTGAGTCAGTGGCAGCACCCCAAAGAGCAGTTGAGTAGAATCATTCTATGGGAAGGTCAATTTCATCCAGGTATTCAGCCCTCTGACTTCATTTCTGATTTAGATTTTATTTCGGTAGAATGGATAGGCTACATACTCTACATACTCTTTAGACAAACCATAAAAATTGGTTTCCTTCATAACTTTTTAAGGATAACAAAAACCAACAGGGATTCATTTAAACCACCCCGACAAGTTCCTGGGATGCGTGTTTTTGTTATTTTGTTATTTTGAGCCAGTTAAAGGTAAGGCTGCACTAAGGACAAGATGGGCAGACCTTATGAAAATCAGGATGCTTAGCAAGGGCACATGTGTGAAACCATTCAACTTTAGCTTGAAAGTATAATGAGGGAAGTCACACATGCAGGGAGGCTGAGGGCCGATTCAAAATGTCAATCCGGATTTGTTCCAACACATAGCTTAATGTCAGTCATGGCCCCACAGAGTTCCAACCAGAGTCACAGCCATCACAATTTTAACCTGGGAAAACCCATCAAGTACTTATTTGCACTTTGCAAAGAAGTAATCAAATAAAATGCATGCTAAAACTCCAAGGATACTATTTGGTGAAGGGAGGGTTAATCTAGTGAATGACATAAAAGCACTATTGGCTATTATACCATTTCACAGCTCTGATAGAAATCAGAGTGTAATATACAGAGTATGGTGCAAAAATTATGACAGGCTCATTTCCAGTAGAATGGCTGACTAGGTAACTAGATTAACATTCTTACTGAAAACAGCTACAATTGCTAGATAAAATATGAAAACAAACAGCCACCATAAAACTTCGTAAAGGTATCAGTGAGGAGCACTCTGGTAAAAAACAAGTAAAGTCTGAAGCCAAGAGGAGTAAATGGAACAACAAAGCCTGCTTTTGGCCTGAGAAGATCTACCAAATAAGGAGACTCTAAGCTTCCATTTTCTTAACCTCAAGGGGATCAGGAGCCAGTAAAAGAAGAAAAAATTAGTATTTATAATTTAAAAATAATTTGCAGTAAACTAAAATATCTTATCAAAAAACCAAGTTAAATAAGTAAATTGCACAAGGTAAACTGTTCAGAAAACCAAAAGCTAAGTAATGTGTCTATAATTTATTTTTTAATCGCTATTAGCTTTTCTAATAACAAAAGGAATGTATGTATTTCTTTCCTCATTTCAACTCTTTACTGGCAACCATTGTTAACAATTTGATGTGTACAGTTCCAGATTTTCCTATGTGTCTCCATTAGAGTCCCACCAGGAAGTGGTGAGTTGTAAGGAGGAAGCGACAGGGAGAAAGTGAGCGGTTCACCAGGTTTTCTCACATTTGCCATTAAGGGAACGGACAAGGTCTCTCCTTGAAATCTTCTTCTGGACTCAAGGGTCCTCTAAGTTCTGAGGGTCTTCGTGTACCTACTATACAAGTAACGTGAGCTCCTTTTAATTGGGAGAAGTCAGGCTACATATATCATTAAGTGGTCAAATAAGGCACATTATTTTTTAAGTGAAATGGTTTTTTGGTCCAGCATATATACTACTTGGTGCCTTTTTGTCTCTTTGCTGATGAAATCACTGACTATTTAAGCTCTCTCATGGGAAGTAAATATACTGGACAGGCTTCCACTGATTAAAAATATTGCAGACCTGTAGGAACATTTTTCATTTAAATTGGAGATGGAGAGAGAGAAAACTTCATCATAGTACAATGTCTTGTGTGCGTTTTTTTTTCTTTCTTTCTTTCTGACTCCACAATTCTTTAACAAAATAAAGATATAGCAGTGTGTTAAACATCAAAACTATTTCAAAAATTAAGCTGAAATTACTTTTTCCTTTACTAAAATGTAATTTGAAATCTCTCTACTAGCACTTTTAAAATTTAGCCAACACAGGAATTCAGTAGAAGATTTAAAATATTTTTCAAAGGTCTTCCTTTTCCTTTTCTGTTCTCAGCTTAAGAGTTAGTAATTCTTTGAGTCTTTCCTAACTACAACAAGGAGATGGGGAACGTTTTGGCTGTTTTAAAATTCCTTACATGTACATGAATTTTAGTAGTTTCTAAAAGTTTAAGCAAATTGCACCTTATTATTCCCTCTCTTTGCATTGCTTTGGTGTAGATAAGTCAAACATGTCACGACACCTTCTTTCCTCCTCATTTCATTCCTCATTCATTCAATAATTTTATTTTTTTTACTTTTTATTTTTTAGCTGAGCCATCCTGCCACCTGTTGGCAGCTCAGCGGCAGCTCAGCTCGGGCCGTGAATCAAACCGGGGACCCTGTTGCTCAGAGCTCAAACTCTTGAGCGAGCTCTTAACCAACTGAGCCACTCGGCCGGCCCTTCATTCAATAATGTATGAGTCCTAGTATGTGCCAGGTATTGTGCTAAGCCCCTGAAGCAAAACAGACATGTCCTCCGCTCTCTTGGAGCTCCTAGTTTAGTGGGATGGGCTGACATTTTTTTAAAAAACCCCCACAAAACCCAAATGTCACTGCAGTTGACAAGTACCTCAAAAGAGAACACAGGATGATGTAAGAATGATGTCCTGAGTGAGTGACACGGAGCTGAGGGGAGGTTGAGGTGTCAGCCAGGTAGGGGGCCAAGGCATCAGCTTGCCCGTGTCCGTGAGGAGCCTGATGCTGTGTGACTGACAGGGCCCATGAGACGGGGGCAGGGAAAGGGGAAGAGTGTCACACAAGACAAGCAGGGCCAGATCACACAGGTCTTGGAGGAGAAGAAGCTCAAAGAAATCAAGCAGTCCCTGGCGACACAGCTAATAAATGGCAGCCCTAGAGCACAGACTCTACTGGCATCATGTCCAGTACTTTTTCTACTGAAAGATGTGGCCATTCACTTTCTCTCTAGGCCTGGGCCATGCCAGTGAATCTGGAATGTAGGTGGGCAGGATCAAGAATTCTTTAGGTAGTTTTGATTAACAACCTGAAAGTTCAAATGGACCTGGACCAAGTCAGGCCTCCACCCCACTCCTCAACTTACATCGACAATTCCATAAGCCAAAGCCCATGCCAAGGCTCCTTTAGTCTGCCAACTTACATTCAAAACCAGTTCCCTAAGGAAATTACGAATTAGAATACATCTGCACTCCCATGGCAAGGAGTCAGAAATTTTCTTTTCTCTTCTAATATATTTTTTTATATGCACCACTACTGCATTCTGTCATCTCCCTTGCTGTCTCCTCCTAACTTAGGTATCACTCAGCTGATCAGCTATTTTTGTAACCTCC